CAAAAATGTACCTCTGTTAAGCCCCAATAAAAAACTCCCAACCATACCATGAGCGAGGATGGAAAATGACCTCGTTGGACACGCGGAATACGGTTGCTCGCTTCTTCACTACTGTGTGCGTACACCTTATCATTTTCTTTGATGTAGCTCTCTTCTACGGTAAATAAAATTTTCATCCGGAAAAAGAATTTCCTGATATTGTTTTCCCGCGTACCGCTTCAACAAAGCGCGGCATCTCTTCAGTCTCAGGTCCATTAGACGATGTCCTGTTTTTCTTCGATATGTCCGAAGCCCTAAGTCTTCATTTAACACCCTTTTCACCGCGGTTCTGCTTAACCCCATCTGAAGGGCCAACAGTTTCTGCTTACGTTTGGGATTTCTTTGAATTCGCGCCTTCACAGCTCTTATCACTGCTGGAGTCCTAACAACCGTGGGCGACTACTTCTTGACCTGTCATTTACACTAGAGTCTTCATTGTATCGTTTGATGGTACGATAAACGAATCTTTTGGTTATATTAAAAATTTTCAGTATGTCAAAAATTTGAATTGGCGCGTAATCGCAACGATGCAACGCAATAACTGCAACACGGTCTTCTTTAAGCGTCCATTCCATTTTTAAATATGAGTGAAATTCTAAAAAGTGTACATTTTTATTTTCATGAACAATTCGAAATTCTAATCCAATAAACTTTTTTGTGGCCAGCATTCTAAAAGAAAAGTTTTTACTGTGTGGCAATACTTATGACCTGACTGTGTATATATACAGAATAATATACAATACTAGCTGACCCAGCGAACTTCGTACCGCCCTTCAAAATTGTGAATCTAAACCATTCTCAGATCCCCTTGAACACACACAAAAATATTTCATCAAAATCGGTCCAGTCGTTTAAAAGAAGTTCAGTGACATACACACTCACAGAAGAATTATATATATAAAGATTTACAGAATCATAATTATCTTTTTGTTTTACTAAATATCGTTACCGACTATTTGGAAGGAGTAACATCTAGTTTAAGTTTAATTTTGTAATAGAGATAAAGGTTTTGTAAGGCTTCATTCAAAGTAGACTACTTGCAATAACCTCCTGTTAGAAGTATACAACACCATATCGTCATTGTATTGTACTGTAGATAGTTTGGGGAGTTTATATAAAACTATGTATTAAGAAGTATAGTATAAGTATATTAGAGGTGATAAAGTTGCTCCTTGAGGTACACAACTCATGCCGCCACTGAAAATAGCCGACGACCCACGCCCTCTACACTTCACACCTCCACACTTCACATCCTCACACTTGCCCATCCTCCTTTTCTCCCTATTTTATTTTATTTTATTTGTAAATATTGACTCCTGAATATTGTAAATATACATAAATAAATATTCTAAACTATTCTTCTGCTTTTCGTTTCCTTTTTTTATTTGTCTAAGTATCTGCCGCTACACGACAGTATAATATAGTAGTATTACCTGATTATTTACCGTAAAAAATATATCAACAATGTACCCAAAATGCATAACTTAGGGATTATACATAAAGTACCACCACATGTTAAGGGGGAAGGAACCAATACAAGGATGGGGGGACGGGTTAAAAAATCTCAAAACAAGTGTGTCGTACTTTATGGATGACCCCCTTAGATAAAAACAAAAAGGGAAGGAAGATACGGCACTCGCGGCTGAAAAGTGATCCGTTTAAATTGTAGTGCATGACTACAATTCGCTTTAGTCACAATTGGACATTCAAACACGTTGCATGTGCACTCAATATAACAATATTGCATATATTCTGTTTTATGAAGATAAAACAATGCCTTCGATGCTTTTATAAAGAACACAACTAGTTCAAAATCAAATAACAAATGCCTCTGCAACACTTTTCATTTGTAAAACTGCAGAAACATTTTTTTCTCAAAAATTACGGTTTGTCGTGAATTTTATTTACGTAATCGCCATTTTGTTATCAAGAAAAGGACAACAATACGCTGCGTTGAAGCATATAGTTCTGTCTCGCTCGCACGATTGAATGTTTATATACCGACGTGAGCGTGTGTGGAGTTGCTTATGTAGTTGAGTCGGATCATATTTTATTTAATGCTAGTATGAGCGTACCGTATCTTTCCTTTTTGTTTTAATCTAACATGACCCCTTATCTAAGAGTTGTGGACCTATTCTGTTAAAATGTATTAGGTATCAAGGCAAGATTTTTGTCGTGCACAAGCATAATATTTTACTTGCTATTCTCTTAAATTTTCAGAGATAATTATGCAGATAAACTCATGCCGAGGGTGGCAAGTGACATGCCCCTAATGCCTGCCCTCTACAGCATAAAGCCTGCCGGAGTACATCAAACCTTGTCTCGAAGGCGGATATAATTAGTTTTAGCAAGGCTTCATCTCCAATTTTGGCTCTCAAAGACGAATGTCAGTTATGATCATTACTTGTATTGGTTACAATGTGATAGTTACGCACAATTCATTATTTAATAAGTAAAAGACACAGAATATTTTATTTTAAAATAGAAAGAAAGAAAAAGGTAAAGTAGGATTATATTTTATAGTGTCTTTATTTAAATTACTTATTTTACTTTGTTTTTACTTTGAAACTTGCACAGGCCATTCCCCCCCCTTCCCCCCGGCTTAAGGGCTACGGGCGGGGACTTTTGATATGTTTACCTCCTAACTAGTCCTAACAAAGTTACGTAGTCAAAAATTGTGTTCTAAGCATTTCCCTCTATTTTCGTTGCCTGGACTATATAGCTTTTTTGAAATAATGTTTCCGCTTTCTCTAACAACTTTCTCATCTTTCCATCGGTTAAACCACAGTTCGGCTTCATTATCGAAGGATTCGAACACGTAGTATCCAAACCCGTAGGCTGAAACTTTGTATTTTCTATTTGAATTCAGTCAATGACATAATTATTACTTCCTTGTCAGGACTACGGAATCTTAAAAACGTTTAAGGCCCGTGATCCCACCGGTTTTTCCTACTAGTACGACCACGGTATATCACTATGTACCCGTGGTCCTACGGGTCCTACCGCACTAGGGCGATTTAGGGTATCGATAAATGTTTGTGCTAATTAAATTATTTTATTTAAATAAGTTGTTAAGTAATGAAATGAAAATGTCATAATCTTATGATTTGTTTAATAAGTAAATAATTATTTTATTATAATTATTAAGGACCCGGTGGGATTACCGGGCATAAACATTTTTGGGTGGTTCTTATTATAAGAAATCCAATATTAATTCTTTAAATGTTTTTATAATTTGTCAATATAACCATTATTTACTTAAATTAAAAATTATTCCATTATAATAATTATTACAATATATAACTACATTTTTGATGTGTAACATCTTTCCTCTCGCTTACCTGCAATTTGTGGGAGTGATTTCGTGAAATGGGACGGAAGTGTGTAACAGGAAGTCGCGAAAGCGTGCGCTATTCGATTTGACGAATGAGAGCGCGGTTTTAGACTTGACCGTCAGATAGTACTGTAACGTCCTTAACGTTGCAGCCTCCTTGTTTAAGTAAACTCTTTGCTTTTGCAATGCCTACGGTTGGCAGTTATATTAAAAAGTTAATGTTATGATTTTAATTTGAAATAAGGAATCGTCTGTCTTTTGATTAGATCTTCAGGCACCAAGAACTTCCTCTCGTATTTAGATAAAAATTCTTTATAATCGCCTGAATGATAAAAAGAAATAAACAATTTATCTCTATCAGTATTTTTCAATTATCGTCTACGCTCCCAGGTTCTACCCCTTCTGGGTAGAACTCTATAGTACCAACCAATTTTCCGAGAGGTCGGTACTGTCAGCCATCAGCTGTGCACTTAAATTACAGTGTTGTAAATGTTAATATGGTGTATAAAGTTTGCTGTTATATAAATCAATTTATATACTTCAACTACATAAATAAACATTGGCTGTTGATAATAAGTCTCAATAAAGAACAGATCATTGGAAAAAAATCAAGTACGTAATTATAAATAATTATTGGAATAAAGTATTTCAGTATTTAGCTTCTTTAGGTTAATCTATTATTAAATTATTGTTTGTTGTGAAAAATAATTTCAATCTAAAGAAAAGTTTACTAGAAAAAAATCCACGCGGACCAGGCGGTCCCGTCCGCTGCCTGGTCCGCGTGGATTTTTTTCTAGTAAACTTTTCTTTAGATTTAAACATCTAGCACTTAAATGCTTAAAAATAAATAAAATCATAAATAATTTCAAATAATACCTGACCAATTTTTTTCAGAATATAATTTTAACATTGCTTATTACCAAGGTGAGATGTCAAGTGTTATTTTAATGTCAAATGTTATTATAATGACAAAATTGAAAACATACAAAAAAAAAGTATTTTTCGCATGACTTACCTCAATATAGATGATATCCCATAAATGAATGGTGCGAGACCAATAATTTATCTATGATGTATCCATTTATTCCAGAAATCTACACTGATATAGCCACTATAATTATTATAATAACTTTCTACGGTAATTCTATATTAGTAGGTATTTATTTTATGGGTGCTTCAAGAAAACAAATAGCGCATTCCTTTAGAAGTATAATATTTATCCCGTATTTAGAAGAAATACACAAACCTACACCAAAGTGAGCCTTGTAACCAATTTTTTCTTGAAATTTGATTAGTGACAATTTTGCGGCTGAAATGGATAATTTTTTCGGAGAAGACGTGATGCGTTATCGTGATTAAATATCACCCTTAGCTAAAGATTAAAATATTCGAAAAATGATATTACCTACACCATTATAATATACCGATATTAATTATAATATGCTGTTTACTTTTAATTCATGCAAAGTTAAATACTAGCCAAAAGTTTAAGACGTATTAATATATAGTAGGAAAAGCTCATAAAAATGTAGGGACTAAATTAAAATTGATACTAAGTTCAGGAACCATAATTTTTTATATTAAAAGCCAATTTAGCGGTTAAGTGCTTTAATAAAAATATCTCAGTATGGATGCGGAAAGCGCAGGACCGTTGTGTGTCGAAATCCCTAGAGGAGGCGTATGTCCATGGTGGATGATAAGTAATCTTTTAAGGTACAAATAACTTAAAATGTTTGTATGTTTTTCCTATATGCGTTTCTAAACCATTGTCCTTATTATGATGAAATTTTGATAGAGGTTCTGACCATTTCCTTGTTGCTCTTAGTGTTCGGAAGACGTGAGTAGAGTTGCCACCTTTTTTTTGTCGAAATAAAGTACATTGGATATTAAAGGTAGAAAAAAAAGTACATTGTGTCCAAAATAAAGTACTTTACATTCCACTTGCTACTAGCAACTTTTAATAAATAATTTGCGGCTACTGTAGTTTCTTTCCGCAATGGGAAAGATCATGATACAAAGGCATACAGCCACGCAAATGTTGCAGGAATAAGCTAAGGGCAACATATTCATACTTTCTGTCCGCTTTACGCAAAAATTCTTCCTATCAACCTCTTTTTGTATATTTTATGTAAAATTAAACCGCGAGTAATCAAATCACATTAAATAAAGTATTTTGGCGTACTTTATTGTTAGCATAAAGTATAGAGTACAATTACCCGAAATAACGTATAATACTTTATAATAAAGTACGGGTGGCAACCCTAGACGTGAGTGCTTCTGGCCCAAAATATATCGATATAAATTAAATAAAACTTTAGTATGCTTTCGTTATCAGAATTTAAAGTTAGCGGTATTATACCCTACTGGTAAAATATAACTTATAATTTTCTATCATAACAAAATTTAATAAGTTGCCAAGTCACCGTGTATTTTTGTTCTATAATTTTATTTCTATCGATACATTATTGAAGGCAGTCGTGCGTGAAATGGCTTCTCTGATCCTCTACTGAGCGAGCCTAACAATTTTTCTACCCATCTATATTACACATTTCCATGATAAGGCAGAATATTGCGATATATCCTACTATGTATATCCAACTAATATTATAAATATGAAAGTTTGTAAGTTTGTTCATGTGTTTGTATATTTCTATGTGCCTATGTTTGTTATTCAATCGCACAAAAACTATTGAATGGATTTGTATGATATTAGAAGAGCTGGCGAACAAAACGGTATAATTACATAAAATTAATTTTTACAGGAGCTGTATCAAACTGAATGACATACCTACAGTGAGATTTTGGCATGGTTTTTAATTTATAAATTTAGTAATTTTAACACTGTTTTAGGTGGTTTTGATTGAAAATTATTTGAGATTCAAATTCAACGGGCCCGAAACTTCCGACCTCTAAAAAAGTAGTTTGACCATATGTGTAACTATAGCGTTTTCTTCGCCAGCTCCTCATACGCATATAGTAGTTTATGATCAGCCCATTGCGGAATCCGCAATGGGCTTCGAAATTGATCTGATTTCAATTCACATGTTGATGTGAAAAATTTTAAGTTCCAGTGTGATTATCAAAAAACTAAAGTAAACGCGGATGAAGTCGCGGTTCTAGGTGATTTATTAATGTAAAACTAGCAGCCGCCCGCGACTTCCTGAATTGAGACGTAGGTACTTGATCATTATTTTGATGCGGAGTTATTTTCAAACTATGATATCACTTAAGATATTTATTGAAATCGACTGAAGTCAAGAACAATTTTGATCAAAATTAAATACTTGTGATGAATAATGTGTTAATTTTGATAAGGAATAATAATTATGTTTACAAAAACACCTTCGCAGATAATGCATTATTTTAGAACAAATATGATTACCAACAAAAGTTTATAGAGAGTCAACATTAAAGGATAGACATATGATGTAGCGGACTTTTTTATAGAACTATTAAAGGAGAACAGTTTCTTCATACATGATTTTTGTGTAATTTTAATCGTTCACGCAACGCATGCAACGCAAGCTCTGAAAAGGATTTTTTTCCCGTTTTCGCAACATTTTTATTGATGCTCCGCTCCTATTACTCTTATAATTATTTTATATAGCCTATAATCTTAATCGATAAATAGGCTATCTATCACAAAAATATATATTATAATTAATATAATGATAATGTGGAATTGATGTAATTTGTTTTGCCACTTGAATGGTATTGATAAACGGCTGACACGAAAGCACTGCTTAGTGGATGGATTTCCCGGTTTGGTTGCCCCACGAAAATTGTCACTGATCGTGGTAGGGAATTTGAGTCAGCACTCTTTAAGTGCTTATCTGATATTGCTGGCACAGGTGAACCACTGCCTATCACCCGTCATGCAACAGATTAGTGGAAAGGTTCCATAGGCAACTGAAAGCTGCCATAACCTGCCACTCTAACAGCAATTGGGTCGAGGCTCTTCCCCTGGTATTATTGGGTGTACGCAGCACCTACAAAGAAGACCTAAAATCATCTTCCGCTGAATTGGTTTATGGTGAACCATTGCGCCTACCAGGAGATTTTTTCCAACCAGATGAGGAAAGTACTGTAGATATGTCGGATTATGTGGCACGTCTTCAATTGTTCGTAAGACAGCTGCAACCATCCCCAGCTTCACGTAATGGTTCCCAGAAGTCTTCTTTCATCTTTGAAGATCTAGCCACGGCTCCTCACATCTTCCTTCGAGATGACGCAGGGGCCGGCTGCCTCAAACCAGCATACACAGGACCACATGAGAGTTCTAGAACGAGGCGACAAGGTGTTCAAACTCGCAGTCAATGGTAAGCTGGTCATCGTGTCAATCGACCGAGTAAAACCCGCATACATACTGCGCAATCCAGACACCACAACTCTTATACCTCATCTTCCACAAACATCACATTCGCACTCATCCACACTTAACACTACACATAGCAACTCACCTGATTCAGTAGATACTCCAGTTAAAACTACGCGTTCTGGTCGTAGGGTTAATTTTCCGGACTATTATCGCCCGTAGGACGGTCTCTGGAGGCGGGTGGTGTAGTGTGCCTATATAATATAATAATTTATATTTTGTTAGTTTTTTTGTAAAATTTAAATATTTGTTCTTTATATAATTTATGTTAATTTAAAATATATATTGTAATGTCTTATAAACTGTATTATTATATTGTAATATAAAAATATCATATTTAAATATGTTAATATGTAAAATGTACGAGGGCGGGATGATAAGTAACTAGCCTCTGCTATTTCAAAAGTTCAAATTTAAAAAATATATATGTCATTTTTAAATTCGTATCTCTGGCCACCTGTGTTCTAAATTTGAATTTTATTGATTTTTTGTCACTTGAAAATATATTTCGTCAACTGTTTTCAAAATGGATGAAATTGTACAAAGAGCGGTGATGAAGTTTCTTCATATGAAGGGCATGTAGGGGAAAGATATCTATGACGAGTTAAATAATGTTTTGGGTGAATGTGCTCCTTCTTATGCCACAGTAAAAAACTGGGTGGCTGAGTTTAAACGCGGTCGTACATGTGTCCAAGATGAAGCCCGCCCCGGACGTCCAAAAAGCGTCACGACTCCGGAAATGGTCGTGAAAGTACATGATATGGTTTTAGCAGATCGACGATTCAAGTTATCTGAAATAGCTAACACTACAGGTATCTCAAAAGAACGGGTACATCATATCCTAAGTAAAGAATTAAATATGAAAAAGTTATCGGCACGTTGGGTGCCACGATTGCTTACGCTCGATCAAAAAAGGATTCGGGTGCAAAACTCAAAAGAATGTCTGGACCGTTTTCAGAGTAATAATGTCGATTTTTTACGTCGATTTGTAACAACAGATGAAACATGGGTTGGTTCATCATTATACGCCAGAATCAAAAATTCAATCAAAACAGTGGACTCAATGTTCAATTTCATCCATTTTGAAAACAGTTGACGAAATATATTTTCAAATGACAAAAAATCAATAAAAATTTCGCGCTACCAAATTCAAATTTAGAACACAGGTGGCCAGAGATACGAATTTAAAAATGAAATATATATTTTTTAAATTTTAACTTTTTAAATAGCAGAGGCTAGTTACTTATCATCCCACCCTCGTATATTTTGGAACACAAGCGGACAAACGTATTTTTCTTGCGCATAGATATTTCTTCTACACGGACGCAGGCAGCGGCCGCTTGAACCTAACCGGTCTCAGTGGGCGGGGCCTCCGCACCACTTGTTCCTGCGCGGCCGCCGTAGTCGGATTTTAGTCTCTGCTTTGTATGCGTGTCGCTTGTCTCCTTACTAAGTACCTCGATCTCGATTTGTTATCAACAGCTTGCTTAACGTTAAACTAATAGTTACTGCGCTGGACAATCTTGCTGCTATACTCATGTGCGCCTTCTAAAAGTACTTTGATAGTAATTATATATATATTCTATATATATACTAGCTGACCCAGCGAACTTCGTACCGCCCTAAAAAAATAGGGGTTGTCCAGCGGACAAAATTGTGAATCTAAACCATTCTCAGATCCCCTTGAACACACACAAAAAATTTCATCAAAATCGGTCCAATCGTTTAAGAGAAGTTCAGTGACATACACACTCACAGAAGAATTATATATATAAAGATATAGGAAAATATTGTGGATACAATAAACTATGAGTACAGTGAGCTGTGTTGCACTTATTTAACACCTGCGAAACTCACGCATCATCCTATAACTGGTGACCCTCGACTGAGCACAGCAGCAGCAAGCTACCTTCAACCATCGCAGCGCCAACCATGAACCCTCATACCCCTTCCTCATCAGGTCAAGCATCAGCAGCCACACAGCAAGCCAGCATCAGCCTCAAGGTTCCATCGCAGCTCTCAACGACGCTTCCTGGACCTTCGGCAGCACTCGACGGCATTATCCCGACCTGATCTTCGCAGCCCACGAGCGGTACCTCACTTGCCGGCCGCAAGCACACCGGCGTGGCAGCCCTGCACACTAGCAGCTCGGACCCACCGTCACACTCCACCTGTCTCGACTCACCGTAGACTGGAGCAACTCTGCAGCACTGGCGACGCGCCTTCACCCCACCCGTCTCGACTCACCGCAGACTGGGGCATCCTGCAACACAATGGCACTTGCAAGCTCTGACGCACTGACTGCTGAAAACACAGACTATCAACCTCCGGTCTCGGAGGGGAGGAATTAATCACTCGCCTCTTCAAGAGATGGCGCTACCGGCGCTGCACTCAAAAGTATGGAAGCCTACATCGCACAAGTGAAATTCGGCGGCCAACAGTTCATATATACAATGCCCGACCAACATCAGTCGGGCCGCGGCCCCAGAGCTACCATCACCCAGCTCGGAGGAAAATCTTCCCCTTTGGCCTTCCTACACTGGTGACCCTCGACTGAGCACAGCAGCAGCAAGAAGCAAACTTCAACCATCGCAGCGCAGCCATCAAACCTCATACCCCTTCCTCATCAGGTCAAGCATCAGCAGCCACACAGCAAGGCAGCATCAGCCTCAAGGTTCTATCGCAGCTCTCAACGACGCTTCCTGGACCTTCGGCAGCACTCGACAGCATTATCCCGACCTGATCTTCGCAGCCCACGACCAGTAGTACCTCACTTGTCGGCCGCAAGCACACCGGCGTGGCAGCCCTGCACACCCAGCAGCTCGGACCCACCGTCACACTCCACCTGTCTCGACTCACCGTAGACTGGAGCAACTCTGCAGCGCTGGCGACGCGTCTTCACCCCACCCGTCTACCATCCGGGCGGCCCCCGAGCTACCATCATCCAGCTCGGAGGAAGATCTTCCACTTTGGCCTTCCTATACTTACCAACTATTAGAAATTATATTTCTATGGTGTATTTATGTTTTTATGTTTAATAATTTAATTTTTATGTTTTGCCTATTCATTGTTATAAATGGCGCATTCACAATACCCAATTCATTTTTTAATGAATGAAAAATGAAAATTGGTTAGTAACATCTAATCTGAGAAGACTCTGAATTCTATTCATACCACAATCTAATTTTACAATTAAAATAAGCCAGTGTCTTTTGGTAAATGATTGCACAAATAACATAAGAAATATTGTAGTATATATATATATATATATATTAATATTTAAATTACTAAAGTTTCTAAATCTAATATATAAAATTCTCGTGTCACGGTGTGCGTAATTTAACTACTCCGAAACCGATCCCCTCGACCGATTTTCGTGAAATTTTATATGCATATTCAGTAGATCTGAGAATCGGACAACATCTTTTTTTAATTCCCCAAATGTTAAAGTTGGTCTAACCTTTTGTTTTTGGATAAAACTTTTTGTTTTAATTTTTTTATGATACATCATACAAAAATATATACAACCTTTTTGCACCCTTCTACCACCAACCTCTATTTTTTTATGGTGGTACGAAGTTCGCTATTAGTTTTTTTTTACATATTAGTAAGCAAAAACAGGCTGTAAACGCAAGTTACTTGATCTTTGATCAATATAGGATTTGTATTTGCTTGATTCACACACAATGCCACCGTGGTTTTGTTTGACTCACGGTAAGTACTGTACTGCCGCTGACAGTTTTTTTTTGTTTCCTCCCAGGAAATCATGCTTATGGCCAGAAGGGCCTTACAAGCTTCATCTGAAGCGATCTTCCCCCGAGAGAGGGATGATGCGGGCCGCTGACAGCATGCAAAAATTGAGATAAAGTTGCAGACCATCATCATTTGCACTCGAATATGTTTTAAGCGTTCTAACGCACGCAACCCGCTGGAATATCGCAAGGTTTGTTGGCAGTATGTCCACCGGCTGACCAGACCAGCCTGCACAGTGTGAAGGAACCTCTACGCAGTAAGTAGATATACTTTGTACACAGTAATTATTCAAAAGCTATCCGAATTTAGCAGCACCCCTAATCTGAGAAGCGGGAGGACATACTAGTACTATTATAATTATTTAAATTATGACTTTCCGTTATTATCTTAGCTGTAAAAGGAATGTTCCAGAATTTTCTTTAAGTTTCCACTCCAACATGTGGAGTAAAATAAGTATTGCTAAGGGAATTTACTTAGCTTTGCTGGTACAGATAAACTATATTTGGACTTGGCTTTGCAGTTCCGAGCGTCTTGTCTTTCTTCTGTCACTTCAATTTTACTTCTATTGAAATATTCATCCTCCTGTTCCTAAATAACGCTTTCAGAAGAGTACACGGCGAAATATACTTTCTATTCTTGAAGTTGTCCAATGGGTAAATATTCGGCGCCTTATCGATTTTACTCAATTTCCGGCACGATTTGTAGCAACTGTTCACTGTAAAGGACAATTTTAAGTATCTATATTTAAAATCTTAATTTCTCTCAGTCCGCTCAAGACATTATTGTCGTTCGTTCCCCAGGACACTGATTAAAATGCATAGCCAACAATAGACTTTGTTCCAGATCAAACATTTTTGTTCTTTGTGTTTATATTAAGGGACAATGGTAATGCAAAGGGACTTTCAATTTGCGACATTCTTTGTTCCATATTTATTAATTAATGAGGAACTGAAGCGAGCGCTTCAATTTAAAGCATTTATTAAATTGCTGGTTTCGTTTGCGGAAAGGTTGTAGTTTAAAAACGAGACGACAGAGTTTTAATAGTGTTTTTTGCGAATGTCCAATGAGGATGATTCGTGACGTTTAGTCACAGCTCTCTACGGACTCGGAGGACCGTCTAAGGGCGTGTACAGTGCTTTAATTGTCAGGTTCTGTCCTCTCCCGCTTATTCCGTTGTTTCGTTGAATCTTTTGCCAGCTAACTTGTATTTTCTTCTCTGAATTACGACTTGTGAACAAACTCTGGCATTGTTAGAGACTCAAATTATAACATAGGTACACTTCATTTAGCAACTTCAAACATAATCGTCCGTTCTGGTCATGTATTCGGAGCTCTTAGGCAGTTAGCAAAAGTTATAATGGAGACGCTGGTCTCTTAGGACGTATTTAACTAGCTAAAGTCTCACACTATAAGTTACTGCTACATCTTGTTTGTTTCTATATAATAAGTACTACTGTAGTGGGTTTATTTTATTTCACTCTAGCTCTTATATACCTATGTAGTTACTTACGAAGTTCACTGTTACTTACGGTTGTAACAAGCGCTGAAATTAATAATAGAAATTGTAATTATGCTATTTATGAAACATTGTTAGATAGTAATGAAAACGAATACTTAAGTATACAAATCCTACTAATATTATAAACGTGAAAGTTTGTTTGTTTGTAAGTCAATCACGCGGAAACGGCTGAACGGATTTGGATGATATTTAGCACACATATCGTCCTATAATTTATTACCACCTGGGTAGAAACAAAGGATACTTTTTATCTTGAAAAAAAATTTGGTTTCTGAGGGATTTACAAAAAACCAAAGTAAACGCGGAGGAAGTTGCGGGCGTTCGCTAATCTACTTAATATGTGGGTAAACAACTGACAGTGATTAAATATATACATATCATCAAAATTGTGTGTTCCCGAGCTATCCCTTAATTTATTTCAATGCATTAAGACACACAAGTATATAGTAGTATATATCTTCCATCACGTTATTTCAGCCCACTTTTCATCTAGTGAATCATAATAATTGGCATCATGAAAAGCTACGGTAGGTTAGTTCGGTATACTAGTTTTTGTCTGGTTGAGCTTTAAACAAAGGGTATTGTTTTTTCCGTCAAAGTGTAAATTAGCGTTTACTTTGTGAATCAGTTACTGATGAGTTCGTGAAATGGTCCTGTGTAAAATGTCATACATTTTAGGAAAGGGGCCTTATAGGAAGGGATAATGTGTAAACGTCGTCCAACAGAAAATAGCTAGCATCGGGCTCCGAGCCGACCCTCACACGTCATCAGAGGCCTCTGACGACTGCCATCAAGCCAGAAGGAAAATAGCCACGTTTTACATATTTGATGCAATTTTACGAGCAACCATTTTATATATCTGTCCGTGAGCGCTTTTTATATGAATGAGGTAATACGACTGATGGAGTAAAGATACCTACTTAAATTACCAACCCAAATTCAATTTAATTTGAAAAAGGGCTTGGTTTGCTATAGACTTCCTCAGTTTAGTTTTATGAATTTTTCTTCGACTTTTGTATTTGTGAGAATAAGTTCATTAATATGTAATTATTCATATTGAATAAAGATTTATGATTAATAATATACTTAGTTTGAGTACGAGCAGCATTTATCTATCAGGAACATGGATGAAAGATTTGTATATGTGTTCGGTTTCAAATACATACTTAGAATGCGTTGGCTATGATGATAAAGTAACGTTACAGTCGCTTAGCCACCTTTTCCTTCAGGTGTCTGTTGCAACTCCGCCGCCATAGCAATCGGTCGACTTCGGATAAGCTTTGGTCTAAAATACATAGTTTCGCGCGATAGTTGATTAACCACCATCAAGGAAAATCAGCAAAATCACCATATAAGTAAAGGACAGACAAGACTAGTTCAAGATCACCCATCACCACTTACGTCAAAATCATCACTTACGAAAGTACAGGAAGTACAGGAAGACCGGCACATCTCCAAAGCTATCAAAGTCACAACAAAATCGTAAGTCCAAAGTCATTTCTGTCCCGTACAATATGGATTTGCGCAGATTAAATACAAGGGAGCCAGACTAGATAATGTCGTTAATGTGTTGCTTACGAAACCACAATGGCGGTGATTAATTCTCTGTCTTAATTATTAAGAGATTAGGGCTGCAGATGCTGCACGGAGGAGCAGACGATTTGAACCATTGCCAGAACCCTGGGCGTTTTCTAAAGAACTAACTGTAGTGTATGTAATAATATTTATATTCGAGCAGTCTCAAGATAAACGACACTTTGTACTGCATCGTATGAAACATTTTCATAATGTTAATTTGTACATACTAAATGGCAAGTAAGTAATCCAGTATAACAGACCTATGTAGATGTTTTGCACTAAGCTAGTTTTAAAATGGTTATTAAGTATTAAGGGTGGTTGTAGAATGAAAGTAACGTTAAAGTATAGTAGTATAAATGCAATTCAACTAAGAATAGGATCGATTGGGTGCCATATTGTGATGTCATAGCTGTCAATTCAAATCAAATAGATAGAGTGAGAAAAAAAGTTTTTATTTAATAAACTTATTTACTAAGATTAAGTGAGAAAAAGCATCAGATTTTTTTAGTAACATTTATTTACTAAGATTGAGAAAAAAAATCCCCGATTTTTAATAATATTTATTTATTAAGACTTAGACTGTGAGAAAAACATTAATCAGAATCTAGCTCTTCTATTCCGCTCATCTCTGCATTACCGACGGAGTAGTTATGAATAATCATGCACTATTGCTAGGTCACATAACATGCATCCTTTATGTAAACGAAAGTTTGAAATCGAGTTTCTGATTAATTATCAAATTTTTCATTGTTTGTTTACAAATGTTTGGTTTTTATTCTTGAATTAGCGCACAGTGTTTTATGGAACCAAAAAAATTTACACCTTAAGATTTTTGCATAAATCAATTATTTATACCCTAATAAAGGCAAGAGTTCAATTCTCAGATCACTATTTCCATTAAAAAAAAAGATATGAAGTAGCAAAGTTTTTGAAATTTGAGCATTAAAAAATTAACAATTTAATTTCCTCAAAAGACGGTTCCATATCTGTACATGAGATATTTTCCACTTGATAAGGAATTATTGAAGGCATAATTTTGCAATTTTAGTTTATTTATAAGTGTGATAGTTTCCGCGAAATATTTTTTTTTTAAATTTCGATTTTTAATTTTTTTCTCCAAATATCGGCAAAAGTGGAACCTAGATTTAGTACAGAAAGGTTCTATAAGCCAAGTTCTATCACCCATAAAAAAATCAGGTTTCACTTTTGCGGTTTTAAGAAGTTATGACAGAATTTAGATAAAGGTCAACTTTCATGATCGAGGATTGTCACAAAGGTCAACTATGAGTTAAATGAAAATGTTAAATTTTTTGTTTGTTAATTAATACCGTCAATCAATTGAATAAATTAACAACACTTGTGGACGAATACAATATACTTACATATACTAGGTACCTACCTAATGTAGATGTGATAATGTAGGAATACTTTATGTTTGTTCGACCACATTTTAACTTTGTACCTTACACGCTAAACGGTAACGAAAAAATGAACTATGTTGCTTGAAAAAAAATTCAAAATTCATTCAGAATCATTCAGGCATTCGATCAGAAAATAAAAACAAATCTTGGGCATAAATCAGTTAGTAGGTGTAACTATTATTGTTACAAAAAAAAACGTAGAGGTAAGCAGGCATGAACTTGTGTCTAATTGGGTCTCCAAAACACACACACAAAACAAACAATTAATAGTTAATACTCAGACCCGAAAACGAAAATCGATATTCATTATAATGACTTCCGCCTTGACTGGGAATCACCATAAGCGTTCCTTTTTTGCAAATAGAGCTTGGAGCCCATCAAAATATGTTAAAGGTACTGTAGTAAGTTCCTAAAATCTACATTATTGTAAACTCGTTCAAAACTAATACACAAATTTATATTTTAAAAATTTTCGTTCGAGGTCAGGTTCGGTGTCAACCCTAGCATAAAAATTTAAAAATGAATATCTTCTAATCGCCGCAAAAGTGACACGTGGCTTATTTATGTGTGATAGACCACATCCGTAGGTTTATTTTTATCGAACTTCTAGGTTCCACTTTTTCGTTTTTAGGGAGAAAAAACAATAAATACGAAATACAAAAAAAAAATCTGCTCCCAAACCAATGCATTTTTTTAAGCTAAAGAAACGCGTTTATACGCCTCTGATTATGCCCGATTGACACATATTTATTAAAAAAATATATTGTTAATATTCACTTTATAAAAAAATATTCTAGATTTCATAGGTCAAAGGTCACGATAACTTCATGATTTTTTTTCTCAAAAAGTATTTGAGTTAGACTTCTGGGAATTGAACTCATGCCTTTTTTAGGGTATAAATAATCTATTTATGTAAAAACCTGAACATGTAAATTTTTTTGGTTCCATAAAACACTGTGTAGCGGAGTGCTAAAAAAGGGTTCCAAGGTTTTTTTGCAAACCGTACTTTTCAAGCGTCATTTGACAGATAGAGGTCATTGGCTTTCCTATTCTTATTTGAATCGCATTATAAGTGTTTTACGTCTGCGATCGATGATAATCATTTCGAAATAATTTTTAGTTTATTTTAATTGTAGGTACTTACATTTACATAAAAAAATGGTTGCCTGTAAAGTCGGTTTTACGGGCGAAGATTTTACGTGACAACGTCTTTTTCTCGGTAGAATATTTATTGATATGAATATAATTAAATTGCACAATAGGAACAAGGAATTGAATGAAAATAAGAATTGCACAAATTTTAACTATAGAAATATATTTTGTTTACTAAAACATTGTACATGTAAACTTAAACTTAACACGAGAGACTCATCGTAACGTTACCGAGCGTTACACTTTTTCATAAGTGACTCCCAGCCGCAACCTAATTTAAGACGTTGTCACGTCAAAACTTATTTAAATTTGTGCGAACGCAGCAAAAACATACTACATGCTTACGTCTGTTCTATAAATTTTCATGTAAGGGCCCATTACCAATAAATACATGGGCGAAAACGGAGGAGATACGCCAACGACAACAATAAATAACATAAATGTATCGGACTCGATGATCAGAGACTTCACTGCAATACGAATGAGATGTCTGCGAATAACCGAAGAGCATCTACATATATTGGATTATCAATAAGTTGTGAAATGAGTTTTCGGTACCGAGAATGTTGGAGGCCATTCTATATTTTATCATTTTTATGACAACTGCCACTTGTGATTTTTTTATGTTAATAGGGTGGCAAACAAGCTTATTTCCCGCCTGATGGTAAGCGGCCACCATAGCCACGCGTGCTATACCAAAAATATCTATCACTCGTTTCGTTGCCTACCCTGACACAATCTCCTACCCTTTAGAGCCCTGGAACCTTACTCACCGACAGAAACACAACACCACCAAAAGGTATGGTGTTATTTAACTGTGGTCTTTCGCTATGGACGCTGCAGTTCGTGTGGAAAATCTGCAATGCCCTACATCTATGAACTCGTATCTAATTATACTGTAGTCAATTGTACAACTGAATTCATATATAATGTTTCATGGTTGTAGGTACTGAATTGATATAATGTTTCAGAGAGTTGGCTACTTTATGTAAGCTACAGCACGCCACTTAGATCGAATCATATAGGAAACTAAAATGCAACTTGAAGGCTTACTATAGATGAACATGATCGTCGGGCTAATGTAGGCCATTCAACTGTTTATTCGTTAAATTTTAATTTATTTAGATAAAAATGGCAAAAATTTAAGTTATAATACCATATCATTCGACCAGGGATCTACTTTCTTTCTCCGAAATGAACTTTCGGTGAGAAAGTCCAAACGGTTCGGGCGAACGAATATTATTATAAATTGGAAACGAATAATATATAGGAAACATGCGAAGTTTAGAACGAAATTAAATTTTTCCTTGAATAAGAGTAGGCCTCCTACTTCGTCAGCTATTCGTTTTATTCTTTGTAGTAGGTCCTCTGGGGATATGTTGGTGAGCTTTGACAAGGGGTTACTTAACACCAAAGTTCTATAACACAAAGGAAAATCAAAAATATAATTAACTGAACTTTTTCGCTTACATTGAATTCATGACATACCGTAGATACGTAAGCATGAAAGATAATAATTAAAAAAAAAAACATTCCCAGTACACCCATAGAGT